AGCACTTAATTCGGCATCTCGCAGGCCACGCCAGGCCAAAGGAAATGGGAGCCTAAGGAAGTTTTACAAATTGTATTACTTTAATGTATTTAAATTTCCTTCAATATAAGAACAATGATCAGGGTATTTTGATAGATTAGAGGATAAAATTTACTCTGGGAGGAAATAGCATAAAATGATATTAAAAATATAATTTGAATTTATAAAATAAAAGCATTAATAATTTTGAGGGTATATGCCGTTCTGGACAAAACCTGTCACAATAACACCGTACTATTTGAATAAGAAAAAGGATCCGCAAAGATATAAAAGCCTAAAATGCAAAAAACTATAAAAATTAAGGACTAAGGACAGGAAAGGATAGCGTAACATTTGGAGCCAAAAAAATCGAACCAGATGACGATAAGGTACCAGAATAATTTAAGGAAAATGCTGCGCAGCCTCACCTTGACCCGAAAGGATTTTTTTCCGAGATAGGAACTGTTTGAGCGGTCCAATGTCCGTCTTTACGGCAATATAAGACGAAAAGAGGAAGGCCAAGAGGGAGCCCAAAAACGGACTTTTTTTCGTCGCTTAAAAGTTTCCTGGGATCACTTGCTGTAGGGTTTGTGACATCTGAAAACTGACAGTTTATATGTTTAATGTCCTCCTCTATGGCAAAGAGATGAACTTTCCAAGGACATACACCACCAAGAGGTAGTTCAATAATATGGCCGCTAGAGTGGACAGAAAATCTTGCCGCGAAAGCAGAAGCAACTATGGAGCGTGCAGGCAACCATACGTGAGCCAGATTAGTGACGATGGAACGCAGTTCTGAGTCGACAAGTTCAAGAGCGCGAACAAAGCAATCCTGTAGGAAATACCATCAGAAAAAATCTTATACTGACATTCTCATTTTTATCACTTTCATTCCAATGAGGATTTATGCGGGACACGCGGCTACTAAGACTAGTATTTATGACATACCTGAAAAAAGGATAAAATTAATAAATTTCATCAACAACAAGTGATAAGATAGGCTAAATACCTTGGCTCAGTGTCACATATGGGTACACCATTATCTATGGCATCAACTTCACAGATTAAGGAGTCGTAAACCTATAAAAATGAAAAAAATGAAGATGTCTAGGCAAAGCTGGCGAACAATTGAGGCAAGTCTACCTTAGTGTAAAGCAAACGCAGATCATTTAAGTCAAATGTTTGTTCAAGAAGCGAAGAAAGAACCC